GTGATTGACTTCATGAAACAGCATCGGATGTTGGATCGCGTGCAATCTTACTCCATGTTCCCTGTTTCTGATCTCCAGGGAGCTTTGAAACATTGCAAAGCGACCAACACCCGAGCTATTTTGGACCTTCAGGCTCCTGGGAAGGTCCCTATTGTACTCCCACTGCCAGATCTTACTGGCCTTCCCGCAGAAGGCACATATATCCTAGCAGGTGGATTGGGCAATCTAGGCCTTGCGCTTGCTGATACCTTAGTGCAATCTGGGGCCCGCCATTTGGTTTTCCTTGGAAGATCTGGCGGGACACAGCCTAGTCAGCAGCTAGCCCTTGATCTTCTTCGCGATCGCGGGTGTACCATAGATGTACTACGCTGTGATATCTCCCAACAGGGGGACATTGACCACCTGTCATACAAGATTCGCAGCAAAAACTGGACCATCGCAGGCGTTATTCAGTGTACAACAGTTCTGAAGGTGATTTACCCTCGTTTCACTTTTGTTTTTCCTATCAACATTATCTAATTTCTTTATTTCTAGGACGCAATGTTCGAGAACATGACTTTTGACGATTGGACCCAATCCACACAGTCCAAGATCCGCGGAACGCTGAACTTGCACCATCTGTTTTCGAAGGAAGGCTTGAGTTTCTTCGTGGCCTTATCTTCCGTGGCTAGTGTCATTGGCAATATGGGACAAGCTAACTATTCTGCGGGCAATGGCTTCATTGATGCTCTCATGGAATGGCGACGCAGTCATGGTCTCCCAGGCCATTCTATCAACATCGGCCTCGTGCCAGATGCCAGTGGACTCAGCGACATTTCTGAAGACCAAGAGCAACGCCGGCGTCGATACAAACATCTTGAGGGCACAGAAATCATGACCCATGAGCTGCAGACCTTGCTTCGAGTGATCATCAACAGCAAACTTTCTCTTCCGTCTCAGATTATTGCTGGCATGACCGACTCCCTGTCTCGCAGCAATGGCTCTACGGGCTGGGTTCTCGATCGAAAGTTTGATCACCGGCTTTGTCTAGCGGTTGAGAATACTGAGGATTCTATTCAGACCAGCACCTTACTTAAGGAGACTAATTCTATCGATGCTGCAACTGAGATTGTCCTTAACGCTCTGTGTGAATATCTAGCAGATGCAATGGCTACAACTGCTGATGCTATCGATTCAGATCTCCCATTGTCTGCGTTGGGTGGTATGTTTTTTTTCCCGGATAATATTTCCCCATTGTGATCTTGCATTTGACTAATACTGGCCTCTAGTTGATTCCCTTAAAGCTACAGCCGTCCAAAACTGGGTCTCTCGCGAATTAGGGGCAGAACTGTCCTCCTTCGAATTTCTTGGCTCGCAACCGACCAAGGCGTTAGCAAGGAAAATTGCCTCCACTAGTTCATTTGTCTCGGTGCCGAGCTGAAGAGATCTGAAGAACTGTCCGATGATCCATGCTGAGTGTGGATTAGGTTAAGGGCAACCATTTCTTCATGTTTCTTGCTTTATAGCGTTTCTCAATTTTGGCTAGTTCAATGTTTCAATAGTTCAAATGTTCGGTATGTGTGTTTTTTACTTACAATACGATGTTTTAAATACGAAATGTATGAAATCTTCGAAATTGCCAAGAGTTGCCGTGTTGGGAGCCCGTGCCGCGAGTGGGTCCCGAGTCCCATCATCAAACTCACATGCCCAGGGGATACTCTAACCGTTTATCCTTAGAGTAACCTCGCATATTGCATGGCGGATAGCTCCGCTGTGTAGATTACAGGATCATGGAATATGCAATAGCCGGGGTGAGAGACGTCATTTCAATGTAGTGAGGGGGACCAAGCGTGAACAACTTCAACTTCGTCCATGGCTCCACTAATGACAGCCCATAGTCTCAACATGTCGGGAACTGGATCGACAGTGCCCGATCGGGTTGATCAACAAGAAGACCGAGGTTTTTGAATTCTGTGGAGCGGGTTGGGGTGGAGACCTCTGTTTTGCACTCTCGCACCCAAATGGGAATGATAACGAGGAACGTGGACTCCGTACGGAGGACACGTTGCCCTGTTAACAAACCTGCGTTTGCTGCACGGTCTCCCTTCCTTCAGCAGGGGTGGTATAATAAGTGCATGCCGATTGTGAAGCAAGGCGATAAACCCCGCTTGTCGACTACATATGTTGTATGTAGCTTTTACGGGTTCCACGCATCCAGATTCTTTAAATGTTCATTTTGCTTTCCCTGGTCCCACAGATCTCAATTTTAGGTTCTATGCCAGCTAGAAGGAAAAGTGCACCAGTATTATGTACAAATGTATGAAATTTCGGTGTCCGGATGGTATCGGCGTCTGTCCAGTTACATCGACCGAGGTACTCCGAATTTGGTCAAATTTCGAAACAACCCTAAATGGAAAGGCCTCGAAACAGCTGCACTGAGGGGTAGAGTGTGGATCTTGGGCTGGACCGTCCATGTTCCCACCTGGTCTAAACAAGGCAAGCCACTATCGACATATTACTTCATGTGTCTGTACAACATAGGTTATCTCCACACCGTGGAGCCCTCCCATGGATCCATTACTTTAGTTCTATGACCGGGAACTGTAGGGTTCCGTGAGTGACTTTCACAGGAAAATCCTCTATGCACTAAAATGTGTAAGGCGTCTTTTAGTCTTCCACACGGGAAAAAAAAAATAATGGAATAAAACACTCTGCTGTCGTGTCCAATTTCTTTTTCCCTTCTTCCTCTTCCGTCTTTTTACTTCCAGCTATGGCGGACCCCGAAAAGAACGATCTATGCATGCCGACACCCCCGGCCAAGGCCATTGTCGTAGATCATAACACGGCCATTGTTCCAGATCCCGAACAGGGCAATGTTGTAGATCATGACATGGCCATCAACCCAGATTCTGAACAAATCATTATCATAGATGATGACCTGGCTATTGATCCAGAGCCTGAAAAGGTCATTGACAACTACTCTTCTAAGGAGATTTCATCCAATGGCAACGAGTCCCCCGGTGTGATTGATCTGGAGGCTCAGCCCACAGAGCCCACAGAGCCCCGACGAAAGCGGTTTGCGCACTTCAGATTCGTCCTGTTTACTGTTTATCGACGGCTCTTCACTGTCGTATTTTGCGCAAATCTCGCAGTTTTTCTCTACGTGATGATCTCCGATCGGAAGCTTCTGGCACTCGTGAATGCAACAGCTGTAAACTTGGTCGCATGCGGTCTCGCTCGACACCCAATGATGGTCAATTCCATCTACAGAGTGGTATGCTCGATTCCTCGAACTGCACCCCTGTCTTTGCGCCGCAGATGCGCTAAGGCAGCCCACTATGGTGGTGTCCACAGTGGCTGTGGCACTGCATCTTTGGTGTGGTACATTGGATTTGTTGCCTTGCTGTCACAGATGTATTGGACAGATTCCCCCATCAGCACAAAAACAGATGCCGAGTTCTCACCCGCTCCGATCGCTGTCGCCTACATCATTCTTGTGCTGCTTTTCGTCATGGTAGTTGTGGCATACCCCACATTCCGCAGAAGAATGCATGATTACTTTGAGCTCACCCACCGATTCACCTCGTGGCTGATTCTGGCTCTTTTCGTGGCCCTAGTCATGGTATTCGCTCATGAATCAAGCGGAGCTGAGCAGGTCACTCTTGGTCACTTCCTCGTCACTCTACCTGCATTTTGGCTGTTAATCGCGGCTATCGTCGCCGTGGCCCACCCATGGCTACTATTGCGGAAGGTTCCAGTAAAGGCCGAGCCACTATCTGGGCATGCTGTACGATTATCCTTCGATTTCAAGCCAATCGAGTTCGCAAAGGGTGTTCAAGTCTCAAAGCATCCTCTACGCGACTGGCACAGTTTTGCCGGGTTCCCAGACCCCATTCCAGATGGTGAGAAGCCAGTTGCCAGAAACGCACGTGGCAAGAAGCCATTTGTCAAGGGCCATGGACACAAGAGGAGCTGGTCTATCGTGGTATCAAAAGCAGGGGATTGGACGGCCGATACCATCCGTGAACCGCCAACCCATCTCTGGAAGCGCGGGTCGCTAATGCGTGGTGTCGGATACGGTCTACGTGTTTTTGACCGCATTATCATAGTGACCACAGGCTCCGGTATAGGACCCTGTCTCGGATTCCTAGGCGACAAAAACCGGCCCTTAATCAAGGTCATTTGGCAAACACGTAATCCGTTGCAAACTTATGGCCAGGATGTCATTGATCTCGTCCATAAGATGGGACCGGATCCGATTATCTTCGATACCAGTCGTGACGGCCGTGTTGACATGGTTCCTGTCGTGCGTCAGCAAGTGAAGGAGTTTAAAGCGGAGGCAGTGTTTGTGATCAGCAACCCCAAGATGACTCAAGATATTGTTTATGAGTTTGAATCCCAAGGAATTCCAGCCTACGGGCCAATTTTCGATTCATGATTCATGGAACATGATATGTTTTCCCTTTTTGTTTCATTCTGAGCCAATTACGATATCTGATATGACCTACATTTTGGTCTTTAATGTGAGCTATATATGAGCTTTTTGTCTCTTTGTATATACTAGTCATGTTCCACAATGAAAAAGTTTTATAGGATTTATTAAATCTCATTCTACTCATTATGAATCGTAGGCGTAGTATCTAGTCCCTTACGAAAATGGCAAGAAGTGAGAAATCGCTTAAGAGATCTGGAAGTTGGTAGCTTAAAGTATCCAAGAACGGGTGCATTCCAAGTCTCAATCCAGCGCGGATGGAATTTCCTCTCTTTTTTTTCTCTTCCTTTTTTTTTACGTCTGAAGTTGATGGTTTTCTTTTTATTTTAATCTTTATTTCATTCGGTGATCAGGGTTTATGTTATCCGATCGATTACTCTTGATAGCAAGACATTGCGGCTCAACTATGAGACATTTCTAGGCACCCAGGGGGCGAATCCACTTCTAGCGGGGTTTCTCTAACTTGTGTCCTGTGGTATATATAACGTGGTAGTGTGCTCTTTTACGTGTCCACAAGTTCACTCACAACATGCATTCCGGTCGACTATTAAAAAGGCGCCGTGTACAGGGATTAGAGGCACTCCAGGACCTTGTCCCGTCTCTACCTGCAGCCCCATTGACATCCCCTCTATTCACCGTCTTTCCCGCTGAGATCCGCAATCGCATTTATACGCTTGTCCTTGAATCCGAGGATATTCTCACAGACAGTTCTCGCTCGCTCTATAAGCAAAATGCTTTTTACTACCGGCCCGGGTACAAGCAACCCAAGCGCATCCAAACTGCGCTCCTCCAGACATGCCAACAAATCTACGCTGAGGCGTCCCTCCTCCCACCAGCAGTAAATGAGCATACTTTCTGGTTCTATCGATCTCCACCACATGTCAATGATGCCTCGTCTCCGCTGAATTATTTTCGCAAGATGACCCCCAAACAGCGGGCTCAAGTGCAGCATCTACACTTGTTCACCCAGCAATATTTCCTAGAGGACGATCATTGGTCCAGGATATGGGAAGGGCTAAAGATGGGCGATGACGGGCGCAGTTTGCGAGGAGAGTGCAGGATCGTGCCGAAGAAGATGACTGTCACGTTTCGCCACACAGACTGGTGGCACTGGGAGAACAATGACCCCCTGGGCATCGATCCGTTCCGGCCCGGGAGAACCCGCGCAGCTGATATGGGAAGGCCTGTTTGCCCGCATGCCGCAGCTCGATCATGGGGAAATCAATTCAGCTCTATCCCCTGTCTTGAGGAACTAGTGATTGAGTTTGAGACGATCATGCGGAAGACGGACCAGCTAGACGCCATCATACAACAAGCTCTTGGATGGAAGTTTCCCATAGATGCTCAGGAGGGCTTGTATCTGATCGCTGACCCCAACTCAAAGAGCGCATATACTTGGGCTGGGGCTAAAGAGGCGGAGTTGAAAAGACAGAGACCTGTATGGCCAGTCAATACTGAGGCTGGGTCAGAATCTCAATCTGCCCAGGAACAGGAGCCGATTCCTGCGGCCCCAGCTTTGGTTCCATTTCATCCTCAATCCGACTTGGGCACCGGTAGGGATGTTAGTCTTGGGAATCACTCCCAATTCGATGTAAATACAGAGAAGTTCTATGTGGTCTTCTTGACTTGGAGGAAGCACCGAGTCCAGGAGTAGGCTGCTTATCTCAACCTCAAAATATATTTCCCAGATCCCATATTCACCGCACTGTCTGAATTTTTCTTTCCTTCTTTCTGTATGTCAAACGGTGTTGTTTTTGTGCTTATCTTGCGCTCTGCAATACAGAATCTTTTGATGGATACACTTCTGGCACACTAAATCCGAGACTGACACATTGTAGGATAGCTTATAATAAGTTCCATCTTTGCTCCATATTTGAATGATACGTAAGGGATATTGCATGTAACTCCACTTGTACAAATATTGCAACCTAAAACGTCTTTTCCTATTTCTTTCGATCCTCGATCAGTACGACCTTCGCAATAATCCAAGCATGTCTATTACAAGTCTCCGCCAGACACCTGTTGCTCAGACAGAATCGAAACAACCACAATTTCTACCCATACCACTAGACTATGGCACCTGTTGGATGTCAAAGGACGGCATTTGAGCCTCTATTTTCTATATCTAACTAACTAGGTAATTCCACTAGAATATAACACTGGTATTTTTAAAGATTACTTGCTTTATTGCTAGTAGATTGCTTAAACTATCGTTTTACTTATATATTTTGTTCTTTGGGTTTTATAACCAACATGATGGTGCTTAAAGTCGAGTGGGTGGTTTTTTTGGTCAACTGGGATCAATATATATATTTTGACGCTATATCTGACTATTATCAAGATATTAATTACCACTCTAATATATTTGGTCAAATTCACATCATCCATAGCTATGTACAATGATATCTTAAATACCCCCGAGCACTAGTTACGTACTACGTTTCTTTAGTCATGCACTGGCATTTTTCTAATTCAATCAAACTCAAAACCTCATAATTAGCAGATACGAATGAAACAGCGTAGCATTTAAAAAGCTACCCTATTTACAAGACCCTGGAATGGACCTGATTCACCAACTGTCCAATAGTGTCGACCATCTCATCGAGCAAAGACACAGCAAATTCGGACCATGACTCGACAGTGACAACTTCAATGCACAAAGTATCCCCCCTGGGGAATGCTTGCACCTTGATCTCCCGCAATGGCTCGAAATGCGGGTAGATGGTCTGCATACGGCTACTGGCCTCCATGAAAGACAGACCCTCAACGTGCTCAACGTCCTGGTGCACGACTGAATCAAACCAGTCAACGGTCTCCGGCCAGTCGGTGCAATCCTTGATGATTTCTTTGAGACCGATTCCTTCGAATTGCGCGCTCTGGAGATGTTGTCGCTGGACAAACCGCAAAAGATCCATACCACTCCATTCATCTCCAAAGTTCACCCGTACTGGTACATACTGCCATGACGGTCCAACAATTGCATCAGCGTTGGGGAGATCGATGTTGCGGCCACTCACCACCTCACCAAAAGTGACATCATCAAGGGATAGGCGTCGCGCAAGGCACAGCGCCCAAGCCGCGGTAGGGAGGGTTGCGACTGTGATTTCCCGGGGTCGCGCGGCTATATTGACATCCTTGGAGATGGCAAAATGAGCTGCAGAGATCACAGGAATATCCGGCTGGATCCGCGTCATAGATGATCCTCGAAGGAGATCACGCCAGTACGGAATGCTGACTGGCATATTAGTGCGAGTCACGTGGCTGACAAACGATGAGAATGGCAAACTCTTCGGCACCGGTCGTCCCTCGTACAGTGCCGATAGCTGCTGCAGCAAGATCGGAAGACAGATCTCATCGTATTGGGCATGGGAAATGCGCATAATAAGGCAGCTGGGCCCGTCAACATGGCGAACGAAGAGGAATTTCAAAAATGGTGATCCAAGAGGAATGCGTGACTGAACATCCACATCGCAGAGTTTCTGGCTGAATGCTTCTATATCACTTTCAATCTCAAATTCAATTATCTGGCAGGGAAGGTCGTCGATAACCACTCCCAATGAGACCCCCTCATGCTCCACGAACACAGTTCGAAGGATCTCATTCCGAGAGACAAGTTCCTGGCAACTTTGGAACAGTTGAGTGTGGTCTACTACGATATCCATGTAGAACAGTTCGTATCGCATAGAATACCGAGGCAGCTGGACAGTTCCCTGAACTGCAATTTCCTGGAGCGGGCGACTTGGATAGGCATCCACAATCTTCCACTCAGGCTGATCAAGCAATAGGGTCATATTGTTGATGAACGCATCTACATCGGTCACATCGAGTGAGCTGAATGGCGCGTAATCTTGAGATGTAATAACTGATGGTTGGGCTTCCACTGTGTGTGCGGCCATGTCAAACAGAGACCGGTGGTCGAAGATTGTGGTTACAGTGAGCTGCAGGCCATCCATACGAGCCTCCGAGACCAATTTCATAGCACGAATGGAGTCACCACCCAAATCAAAGAAACTATCATCCAAAAGGATATCCTCGCAGGGAATATCTAAGACCTGGCCCCAGACCCGTTGGAGCTTTTGCTGCACGGCCGTTGTGATAGCTGCACGGCCGTTGAAGTTTTTGGTTCGGGGCTTGAGTTGACCGATCTTTGCGTGGCGTGCGCGAATAATAATAACGGAGCCGTTATTTGTATATTTCGCCAGCTGGTTCGTCGTGTACAGCTTCGTCTGGTCCTTGAACCAAGTTGGATTGGCAACCAAATTGCCAGATGCCAGTTCACCTTCGCTTTCAACGAGCAGCTCACCCACACCACCAGGTGGTACAAGATACTCATGGTCATTTGGGTTAACGATCCAAGTAGATATGACAGCTGAGTAAGGCTCCTCCGTAGAGAGGCTCGCCGCGCCAATCTTGGCCAAACGATATTGTTCTGTAACATCTGCCTCAATCGTGGAATTATAGATGTGCTGGATTCGCTGGGTTGGGTCCTCGAGGATCTGCTGCACTAGCCGATCAAACTTCTTGAGCGCTTGCTCCATTTGCGGGACATCGATGGTCTTCGAGTCGAAGCTGGCCATGACAAGAAAACCTTTTGTATCAACGGTGAAGACAAGCATGAGGGCGTATGAATTAAATTTTAACGCTTCACGAGCGGCTTCTGCCTCACTGGTTGGCACAAATGCGGTTGCTGGCTCTTCTTTCGAAGAGGATACACTTTCCTCGACAGTTGGATGAATTACAATACCTGTGCGCAGCTCACACGCCTCTCGCGCATCGGTGTTCAAACGTCGAATGTGTTGCAGACCCATGTGCTCGTGAGGAATACGATCTACCGTTTGATCATGAATCTGCTGAAGGTAGCTTGATGCTCGAGCCTTCCGATCGATACAAATCCGAACTGGGACGGTGGTGATCATCGGACCCTCGATTTCCTCGACCGCTGCCACGGGAGCTGTGCGACCGGTCATAGTCTCCCCAAACACGATGTCATCAGAGGAGGTGTAATGTGCTGCTAAAAGACCCCAGGCGCCTCTAATAGCGGTTGCAATGCTCGTTGTGGAGTTCGACGAAGCCCGAGGCAGCTTGACGTAATGTTCCAGGAGGGAATCGGCACGAGCTTGGTACCCACTGTATGGAATGAGAGGGAATTGTAGCGAGGTAGCGCCTTCCAGTTGAGTTGCCCAATATGTCTCCGTGGAGGCTCGATCGGTGTCACCAAGCCACCTGATAAAGTTCTTGAACGGTGCTGGGCTGCCGATACTCTCACCGCGATAGGCGCGATTCACTCGGTCAACTATTAATGGCATTGACCAGCCATCATAAAGTGCATGGTGGATGCTTAGGACGATGGAGATTCTGCCGGCTGTCTCATCATTCACAATAGCGAAACGAGCAAGCTCAGTTCCCAGAGACATCCCCTTGAGTGTATCGATACTCAGATACTCTGTCAAGTTGGCACTGGTGAGCCATGGAGTGTTGGCCCGTACAACGAGTTGCATCAAACCCCGGCGTGGAACTTGGACAATTCTTGTTCGTAGGATCGCAGACTCTGTTGAGACACGCTCAAAAGCAGACTGTAGTCGTTGCGCTGTTTGAATATCCTGGAGCTCAATGACTCTCTGCGCGACATAAGCATCTGTATACTTCGCGGAGAGGGCCATGAGGGCTTCTTGGAGAGGTGTACAGGGATACACATCAACCACCTCGCTAGGATCCAAGTTGCACAACGAAGCCACTTCGACCCGTGCAGCATCGGCCTCCCAGCTTGCTGGAAGTAGCGAAAATGGAAGAACATCCCGTGGAGCTTTATTCTCAACCTCTTTTACTTTGAGGGCCAGGTGCTCAAGCACGGGTGATTGGAAAATATCAGTGACTTGAACAGCAAGAAACTGCTCTCGTGCACCAGCCACCAACTTCATGGCTTTCAATGAGTCTCCCCCTAGGCTGAAGAAGTGGTCATTTACCCCGATCTCTGCCTCATCGCCAAATAGCTTCAACCATAGGCCGTGAAGCTTGCGCTCCATTTCTGTTCGGGGTGCTATCTTGACAACTGTGGACAACCTAAGCTCTGCAATATGCCGTCTTGTCAAGTCATTCCCGAGAGCACGCAGCTGCTTCCGGTCTGTCTTAAGTGATACCAGAAGTGGCATATGGTTGAGTGGTATATATGCGGTGGGGATCATATAACGGGGCAGGTTTGTCGCGAGAGCATCATCAATGCCGGCAATCAGCTTTTGGAATGAACTCGAAAATGAGATAATCTCGCTGATTGCACCCGTCTTGTCACTGTTTTCTTCCGCCACAAAGACAACCAGTGTGGCATCTGATTTTTTCCCTCCGGGAAATATCACCTCCGCTGCGACACTTGCTCCAGCGGGAAAATAATTTCGGACGTGGTGCTCAATTTCGCCCAGTTCCACGCGCTGGCCGCGCAGCTTCACCTGTTGGTCGGCACGACCGATGAAAACAACACTGCCTGAGGCATCAGGATCGTATCTTACCAGGTCACCGGTCTTGTAGAGACGGCCCTTGCGACCTGGCACATCTCCCCCCCCCTCAACCAACCATGCTGGGTCCTCGATAAAAACCTCGGCGCTTTTCTCTGGGTTATTGAGATATCCGTCACCAACCACAGGGCCTTCGACAAGCAGCTCTCCTATCGCGCCGATTGGCATCAACCGGTGGTGATTAGATGGATCTACCACCCATGTCGTGCCACCGACTCCCTGTCCGATACTAGTGTACGATCGACCAGGAGGGATGTCATTGTTGATTGTGCAGCCAACAGTGCACTCCGATGGGCCGTATGCGATTACGATCTTCGTCTTCTGGCCCCATTCGGCCGCATCGCTAGCAGATATTGCCTCGCCACCAAGGCCAATGACCTCCAGCGAGGGCATGATATCAGGGGCCAAGACACGCGCGACGGATGGTGTCATGTGCGCCATGTTCACACGCAGTTGACGAATGGCGCCGCTGAGGTCATTGACTCGCTGGTCTTCTGATGGCACACAAATGCAGCCTCCGTTGGCCAGAGTGCACAACATGCAGTCAACACTGACGTCGAAGGCATACGACGGGAAGTCGAGAACTCGCGAGTGTTCTTTGTATCCCACTGCTGCGGCGCGAGGCACTGCACCGCTTGTATAGCTGGAGTGAGAGATAACCACACCTTTAGGCTTCCCAGTACTACCGGAGGTGAACTGAATGTAAAGGGTTGACGATGATGGGACCACAGGTAGGTCCACAGAGTGTGGTTCTAATTTGTCATCATCAACCAGCGGGCCAACAATTATTTGCTTTCCTCCTGGGACAATGTGTGAACCCAGCTCCGCCTGCAACTCTGATGTCAATATAAAACCAGCCTCAACCTCGCTGGCGATGGTTCTCAGTCGTCCTTCGGGCTGGCTGGGATCCATGAGAACCAAGGCACCGCCGGCCTTCATCACTGCGAGGACACCAACAATTGTCCACATGGACTTTTCAAAGCAGAGCGGAACAGCCTTGCCAGTTTGCAGTCCCAGACCAACAAGACTTCTGGCTAGGTTTGTTGAGCGCTCTTCTAGCTGTCTATAGGTCATCTCTCCATCCCAAGACACAACTGCTGGATGATCGAGTTGACTTTGAGCCTTTTCACTGATTATATCGTGGATGCAATGATTGATAGTGGGGGGTATTGCCCTGTTCCACTTCCATAACTGTGACAGCTCTCGCCGTCCAATCCGGACGGCCTCCGCAATAGGCTGATCAAGATCACCGCCAATAGAAATAATGAGGTCGGTTAAGATATGAGGCAGGACAGCTTCAACGGGCTGCATGACTGTTGGGGACCTAGGAGTCCCGTGAACATGCACAACATCATGCGAGATCTTTGCTTCTAGAGCAAACGTCCACTAATCCAGTTAACAACTGATACAATCCATGGGTTTGGATTTACTTACTTCATTCTCAAGCCAGGCATTTCGACACAAGAGTCTATCCGAAGATTCGCCGTCAAATTGGCCCCGCCTTCGGATTGCTTCTAAAGCAGATCTCAGCGAGTCGCCCTCTCCCTCAATGACATCTGAGATGAGACCTCCCTGGGGAATGCCTTCTTTTATCCAGGAAAAGCCTCCGTCCTCACTGTGCACTGTTCCCCGAAACAGAAGGATGACCCAAGCGAGAGCGAGAAGTTCCTCGTGCCTTATATCCGGAAGCATTGGCAGGGTCATACAGTCGGACCAGCCAACATCATGTAGCTTCAACTCTTCGCTGACCCAAAGGGCCGCACTGGGCTCGATATACTCACCCATAATTTTGGAAAAGATTAATGTCAAGAAAGTGTCTCTAGGGCTGTCCGGGGACTACGAACGATCTGATTAAATTATCTGATGCTGATCTTCAGTGACGGACTTGGCATCTTGCGAGAAATCCCGTGTCTGCAGCACATAGAGCCACAACGGACAGAAACAATCCGACCAGATGCCGAGACATCATTGCCAATATTGCAATGGAACCCTCGTATACTTGAATCAGTACGTTATACCAGAGTGGGGAAGCCTGAGCCCATGTATAGTTATAACGCAAATTACCAAACCATACCATGCATACCATACCATACCAAACATACCAAACATACAGAGCCTCCCAAGAGCTGCCAAGGGCCGCCGAGATCTACGCTAAGCACTGCCACCCTGTGCCTACCTTGGCACTAAAAACTTGTTGTGAACGATCAGAGCCCTGACAGTCGACGATACAGGTCTTCGATTTCTAAGTTCACTGTCGATGTGGGTTTGTGCTTGGCATCGGCGGGACCTGCACTCTACTAACAGTCATATTCAAAATTTTCGAATGTTGTTTAGTGGAACACTGTCACCATTATCATGATCGTCCTTTTCAAAGTTGCTCCTTTCGGGAAATCGTAAGTTTCCGCCAGATTGATTAGATGGGCTGCGACATCGGATATCCGTTGATTGATTACGTTGGGAATTCGTGAACCAACCATGGAAACTCTTGTCTCAAGCATGTATGCGGGCCTACATTAGCTTCCCTCTCTTGGTATTAATGGTATTAATCTGTGCCAAACAGCGATACTGAGATACAGGGATGGCCTTTGGTAGCAGCCAAGGACTCAGTTGTCTGAATCTGATGCCTGGTGGACCGCTGCTTCGTGCACACAAGGATGATGATCAATTCCCTCCATGGTATACTCGAGAAATCCCCGAACCGGAGTATACCGAGGACAAGGTGGTCAATGCCGATATTGCATGTGTGATTACTTATTCCCTCGTGCTCCTCTTCTGAGTTGGTAGCATCGTTATCGTCATGTCTTTGAGTTCTCTGCCCTTGGTTCGGCTACCGGAGCCTTACAAGACAACTTATGAATTGCACATCGTATCTACCGAGCGGAACCTCCGCAAGTTTCAGCTGCTGAGATCTCCTCGCGGGGATGAAGGCATACCACCCCCGAAGCCTTTGGACCATGCGTTGCTGAGGTTCACAGATTTGGCCCAGCCTAATCCTTCTTCTACACCAGACGAAGGAAACAACTCACCCTGGGCACGCGCACAGAGGAGTCCGGTTACCTATATTACATGGGAAGGCTTGGAGACGCCGACGGTGGGCCAGATCTGGAATGTGGTCCATGCCATCGAGACCCTGCGCAGCGAGTTCGAGATATTCCGAGGTGTGATGTCTGGTCATGGGAGTGACATACTTGCATGCGAGCTACAGGGTGTGGGCTTAGCCATCGCGCACCCGGAGCCATCTGCTGCGCCAGGAAAGCCCATACCAAGCACCACTAACCACCTTGGACAGCTGGTCTTTTCCCGCAGTAGCTTCTGGCAAGGAGCTGGCTCACCCTTTGGTACCCGCCCAGCATGGGTATCTGACCCTGGGATCTACAGCTATATGCGCAAGCCGTTGAGCAACTACCCTTCCCGACCACGACAACACACAGTCACCACTGGTTTCCCCGAGCGTCGAGTACACGCTCTTCACCCCGTGCGGCCACCCAAACCAACCTCTGGCTCTCGCATCTACAGCCGCTACATTCCACACTTGGACGAGTTTTTCTCAGTCTATGCGCTAGACTACACAAATGACGAACACCTGGGGCTGTTCAATAAGTGGCAGAATGACCCTCGAGTGGCTCAGGGGTGGAACGAAACTGGAACTTTGGCCCAACATCGTGAATACTTGCGCAAAATCCAGGAGGATCCGCACCAGATCGCTGTGCTGGCTAAGTTCAATGATACTTTCTTTTCCTATCATGAGATATACTGGACGAAGGTAGGGGTTCTATTTCTTCCCAACACCTTGATCATGGCTGATTGAAATAACAGGAGGACCACCTTGGTGCGTACTACGATGCTGGTGACTGGGACAGGGGCCGCCATTCGTTAGTCGGCGATGAGCGTTTTCGAGGCCCGCACCGCACAATTGTGTGGTGGTCTGGCTTGATGCATTACATTTTCCTCGATGATCCGCGTACGGAGTTCGTGACTGGAGAGCCGAAATACTCTAATTTGGCTCCCTTGACCTACGACCACGCTACAGGAATGAACCTGGCCAAGCTGGTCGATCTACCTCATAAACGGTCCGCACTCATCCTTGGTAGCAGGGAGAAGTTTTTCCATGTAGCACCTCTACGATTTGACGGGTCTGATACTCTCGATCGCAACCCATTCCGCTCATTGAAGTTGTGATGGTTCTAAATGTGAAATATGATGTGATTTTATTACCCCTATGTTATGCACTTGTGAGAAAGACTTCAAGCGTGTATCTAATACATTAGTACATAACCGCGTAAACCTTCAGTCCACAACCAGCAATGCAGTGAAGTAAAATTCCCCCTCAAAGTGAAATCTAATCAGATTCGGGATGTGCCCAGGACCCCCTGGGACCCGAGATTTTGAGTTTGATAGTTGCGATAACCCCAACTTACCCTAAAAAAATATAATTTGCAATAGCCGAGCAGTCTCCGGGGTGAACATGCTAGAATAGAGCATACAGTAAAGATCATCGCATCGGAAATTGCTAGACCTTCTCAAATGAGGTCTTTGCCCGGACGAAGGGTATATACGGCAGCATTCTCGGTCAAGCCCTAGGACCAGCCCCACCCCCAAGAACCTCCAAGACCAAAAAAAAAGAAAAAAAAAAAAAAAAAAAAAAAAATACATACCCTTGGCTCTTGGCGGTTGTTATTTACAAGATCTGATAAATGGTCAAATCTTACGTATTGTCCGACGTCGGCTTTTCACTGTAAATTCTTGGTAATCGAGTCAATCGGAGCCCATAGATTTCTGCCACAGCATATTTACCTTTGAGATAAAATAACAAATGGTCTTCCTTGATGCTCTCATTCATTCACACCAATAGAGAGAATTTTTATTATGGCAGCCGAAGATGCACCAGCGCAAAAGCGCAGCGTATGTCACCCCTAGATCCTTTAGGTCCTCGAGCTGATCCGTCACAGTGGAGGGAGAAAGCCGTCTTCTTTCGCCTGTTCGTCTATGGAGAGCCTAGTATATCAGATATCGCCCTGCTTGTCCTCGGCCTTGTCTCCGCAGTTGCCTCCGGAATCCCTTTTCCGATCATGTCTATTGTGTTTGGTCAATTGGTGGATGAAATGAACTCGACTACCTGCAACGCCAACAGCACCAATGGTGATTCATACCAAGATAGTATCAACCAGAAAGTCTTGATGATTGTCTACATCGGCATTGCTTACCTCTTCTTGATCTATATTTATGTCCTTAGCTGGAACCTGACTGGCGAGAGATTGGCTCAGCGTCTGCGTGAGAAATATTTCAAAGCCCTTCTCCGCCAGGATGTGGCGTTCTTCGACAACCTCCCAGCTGGCGAGGTGTCCTCGAGAATCACAGGTGACATTACCACTGTACAACAAGGAACATCTGAAAAGGTCGGCATCGTGATTAACAGTCTTGCATTCTTCGTCACTGCATACATCGTGGCTTTCATTAAGGATCCTAAGTTGGCTGGAATGCTGGTCTCCTTGACTCCAGCCTACTTGATCATGTCTCTGCTGGGTGGATATTTCGTGCAAAAGTATTTCGGTCGCGCCCTGGAAAGCATGACCAAGGCATCTTCAGTGGCACTCGAGGCATTTTCCAACACAATGGTGGTTCATGCTTTCTCAGCCAACGCCCGGCTGGAGGAGAAGTTCATCGAGTTTTTGAACCCGTCCAGGATTGCGGGAATTCGCAAATCAATTGCCACGGCCACCCAAGCAGGTTTGCTTTATTTTATTGCTTTCTCGGCCAATGCATTGGCCTTCTGGCAGGGGTCTACGCAGATTGCGGGTTCGGTGGAGTCTGATGCGGGTGGCATGACAGTCGGGGCAACATACACTGTGATTTTTATTCTAGTCGATGGTGAGTGTCTATATTCATGCATTGGTGTATCCCTTGCTAATTCAGTCTATCTCACAGCGTCCTTGATCCTCAGTACAGTGGCACCTTTCATTCAAAGCTTCGACGCCGCTTCGGTTGCCTTCACGAAATTGAAGGCTGATATAGAGCACTCATCCACAATTGACGGTACTGCAAAGGATGTTGGAGAGGTCTTGTCCGAGGTCAATGGCCACGTGGAGCTGCGTGGCGTTTCATTCTGTTTCCCTTCTCGTCCAGATAAGCCAGTCCTTCAAAATCTGTCGCTTTCCTGTCCTGCTGGCCAACAAACCGCTATTGTCGGCTTGTCTGGGAGTGGAAAATCTACTGTCGCCGGCTTAGCAACGAGATTCTATGATGCGACCGAAGGAACTGTTATGTTGGATGGACATGATGTCAAAAAACTGAATGTGCGTGCATTGAGGAGCCATATCAGTCTTGTTCAACAAGAGCCCTGTCTTCTGGATCGATCAATCTTTGAGAACATTGCCTTAGGCCTGATCAATTCCCCTGTACACACTCATCTTCAACCGATCCTGACAGGCACCGCGCTGGTTGAAATTGCTGCCGCTGTGAGGGATGGCCAAGCCCTTGCGGTCGCCTCTCTAGAACACGGTGACCAGGCGCGGGAGGTGGTAGACTTGGTCACAGGAGCCGCAAAGCTGGCTGATGCCAGCGGATTTATTGAGAAGCTCCAAGAAGGATACGGTACTTCAGTTGGTTCTAGCGGGAACCTTATAAGTGGCGGACAGAAGCAGCGTATCTCTTTGGCCCGGGCCTTGGTGAAAGACCCCCGGATTCTCATCCTCGACGAGGCTACAGCGTCTTTGGACTCAGCGACGGAAATGCGCATCCAACGAGCCTTGGAAAGTGTGGCCGTGGGGCGAACTGTTATTACCATTGCGCATCGCCTCTCTACTATTAGAAATTCGGATAACATCATTGTCATGAGACAAGGAAAGCTTGTTGAACAAGGCCCTCATACGGAACTACTGGCAGCCAATGGTGCCTACGCAGAGCTAGTTCGCCTTCAGAACCTCAACGTCGAGAATACGCAAGAGGGAACATCCACCCGATCGGTGTCACCTGTGAATCAAATAACAGAAAAGGCCGAACCCTGTCTTTCCGTGGCCGATGATATCCGCGAAAAAGATGAAACAATCGATACTTCCACTGCCCAAGGCTCCAAGTCCAAAGAAACTGGCGGTGTTGTTGATCCACACAGGTCATTTTCCTCAACAATCAGCTCACTAGGCTCTATGTTCCGACCGTATGCATTTGTTCTGGTCCTCGCCGTGACAGGCGCTGTTGTCATTGGAGGCACATACTGTGCCTCGGCAGTGATCTTTGGTAATGTCGTGGGTAAGCTGAGTGGATGCGAGGAACCTCAGAATATCCGCGATGCTGGAGAGTTCTACGGACTCATGTTCTTTGTCCTTGCCATTATTGAATTCTTTGCAAATCTGGTCAGCTGGTCTCTCTTTGGTTGGATGGCAGAGAACGTGATCTACAAAGTGCGAGTTCTTTCACTGCGAGCCATTCTCGAGCAGGATCTCCAATGGCACGAATCCAATGACCGCAACCCATCATTACTGCTTTCCTTGATCACTAAGGACAGCAATGCGCTTGCAGGCCTGACGGGCTCCGTTGTATGCACAATTTTGTCTATTCTCATCAACCTGTTTGCTGCCATCATCATGTCGCACATTATCGCGTGGCGAATCGCAATTGTCTGCCTTGCCGTGGTACCTTTGCTGCTGGCTGCTGGCTGGATGCGAGTTACCTCTTTGGCACAGTTTGAAGAGCGCCACCTGGAGGCTTTTGCTCGATCGGTGGGAATCACAGTGGAGGCTGTCAACTCGATCAAGACCGTCATGTCTCTCTCCGTGGAAGACGAGATTATGGGAACATACCGTCGTTCATTAGCTGCACCGATGAAGGAGATAACCCGCCAAAGTGCATGGGCCAATGTCTGGCTTGCCATCGGGTACGGCCTCAGCAACTTCTTATATGGCCTGGCATATTGGTGGGGAGCGAAAAACATTATTGCGGGATATTATACTCAGACACAGTTTTTCATCGTCCAGCTGGCGCTGCTCGTCAGCTCACAGCTATGGGGACAGATGTTTGCCCTGGCCCCTGATGTCTCGCGCGCCTTCCAGGCCACCCGCCGCTTGTTAAATCTGCTAGACCTAGGATCCACGAAGAAACTGTCAGCCCCCATCCAAACTCTGCCTAGCAAGCTTTTACAGTCTATGAGTGACGTGGAATCCACGGCAACTACCCGCGAGAAGGTCAATGACGCTCGCAATGGTATCAGCGTATCCCTCAAACAGGTCCATTTTGCGTATCCTGCACGGCCAGACACCCGCGTGCTTCATGGCTTAGATTTGAACGTCAAGCCGGGTCAGTTTGCCGCCTTGGTCGGGCCCAGTGGTGCTGGAAAATCCACTATTATTTCACTTGTCGAGCGCCTATACTCCCCCGAATTCGGCACCATCCATGTTGATGGCCGAGACGTTGCCTATGGTGACATCTCCTTCCGTGACTCCATCGCATATGTACCACAGCAGAGTGTTTTGTTCGAAGGAACCATTCGCTTCAATCTTAGCCTTGGCGCACGACCTGGCCACGAAGTTACCCAAGAGGAGTTGGAAGAGGCATGCCAATTAGCCAATATCCACGACGTCATTGTACAACTTCCCGACGGATATGATACACACTGCGGGCCAAATGGTGATCGTCTGTCCGGAGGCCAGAAGCAGCGACTGGCTATCGCGCGGGCGCTGATCCGGAAGCCGAAGTTGTTGCTCCTAGACGAGTCAACCAGTGCCTTGGATGCAGAGTCTGAGCGATTGCTCCAGGACGGATTGGAGAAGGCATCCAAAAATATGACGGTGATCGCGATTGCGCATCGTTTGTACACGATTCGTAAGGCTGATGTAATTTTCTTGATTGAGGATGGGCGTTGTGTTGAACAAGGCACTCACACCCAGTTAATCGAGCGGAGTGAGACTTACAGGGTCAATGCCTTGAACCAAACAGTGGATGGATAAATGTTCTTGGGTAGAAAAAGGTAGATGGCTGTTTTCTCCTTCCGTTTCTGTTGATATAGATCTATATTGTTTAATCTCATTCTTTTATGATAGACAACTCCACAATCCCCTACTACATAAATATTGCTTCATGATTTTTTTATCAGCTTGAACATTTACTCAGTTGCTTCTCCCAAGCGCATCCATCTCCAACAAACTGCTTTTATTAGCTTAATCAATCCAGCAGCAAAAATTGTCAACTTACTTCCATATCCTAGATCATCATTGAAGAACATATTGCGGATCTCGTCGCCCGTGGACAGTCCCATGGTCGGGAAGTACCCAACAGCGGTTTTCCCAAGGGCCAAAGCCATCATGGGAGCTACCTCAACTAACTCGATGAACTTGGGTTCCGTATTATACCTCTCCGCTAGCATCTGCTGGTGGATATTGACAGCTGCGAGGTGTCCCTGGTGCATCGCCGCTCCACCACGTTTAATACCAGACCAGGAGACAATATCACCGGCAGCGTAATGATATTTCTTGTTCGGCACACCTGCGGAGAATTGAAGACCGGGTGTGATACGGACATATCCCTCAGGATCGCAGGCATCTTTGGGAAGATACGAGGATGTTGGTGTAAACCGTGAAACGGCATTAATTACATGGTCAGCAATGAGCTCTCGGCCATCCGAGAGCTTGAGCGTGTACTTCGCCGGGGCAGACTCGCTACCGAGAACTGTATCCTGGACGCGTGCTCCCAACACCACTTCGACCTTGGACTCTTTCAAAATTTCGAGAGCCTTTGCTTTAAACTCATCGGGGAGGTCCTCGGAGGAGAGCAGCTGTTGCCGAGAGTGAACGAGGGTCACCTTTGCGTGAGGCTGGAGCATCTTAATCTCGGCGGCTATCTCGATACCGACAGCACCTGCGACGAACCAATCAGTTGGTACAACTCAAATGGAACGAAGATGGTGACACATACCGCCTCCAATAACAACCACACCTTCCACGGCTTGCTCGATAGTCTGCACAGAGTCTGCAGTTTCGGCAAGATATGCCTCCCGAGTTAAAGATTTGGGTGCACTGGGCCACTCCCTTCGCAAGCCGGAACACGTAATCATGTAGTCATATTTCTCCTCGACAATCTTGTGCCCATCATTCGCAGTAGTTTGACGGATTCGTGCGATCCGGGACTTGCAGTCTATCGAGTCCACTCGTCCTTGTATGTGATTGATATCCGGGGACTGGAGAGCGGGAATATCCGCAAACTTGTTCCAGAACGTGCTAGCATCGGCGTTGGAAGCTATGGCTAAAGGCAGTCCAATCAAGTGGTCTTAAAGAATTACTGTCAGTGACATGCTTTCAAATGTTACGTGAGTATATCACATACAATAACCGTCACGCTCATCCACGATGGTAACTTGCACGGGAATCTTGTTCCCTGGGCCCTGGTCGTTCTCATCCTGGTTGAATCGACATTTCCGGCCATGACACAGGTCAACAAGGTTAAGAGTTGCGGCCAACCCGGAATAAGACCCTCCAACAATGAGAACCTTGAAGGGCGGCTGTTCTTCGAGACCAGGCATGGAGGCGATCACTATAATCGGCTTTGGTAATAATAGGGGAGTTGTTGGGATGGGAAAAAGAAAAAGAAACCAGACCAGGAGCCGATGAATCCACCCAAACAACGGACGGGATCAGCATCACTAACGACATTTAGGCCAAATGTCTCATTACCCGGCCCCGGAGGAAATACAGCCAATTACGTACCTACGTAACTTTAACTTTCAATGCAACCTTGTCTTATCAGATCCGACTTCGGGAGCCTTGGCGCCAAGGAAGCAATTTGTTGAATACTGATCCTCTTAATACCATACACTGCTACTTTCTTCAACTCTTTCTGAACTATTCCTCAATAGTGATTATACTTTCCTTTTTTGCATTCAATATGGGCTTCGTTGTTGTCCCCGCCACTCTCCCCGATATCCGGGCCATCTACGATGTCTGGTTTGCGGCTTTCAAAGGCCAATTGATCCTGGACCTTATCTACCCCGGAACCGATCTCAAAGATGAGGCTTTCCGTAAAGTCCACACCGAAGGGACTCTTGAATATTGGAAAGGATTGAGTATGGAGCACACCTTCCAATGCATTGACACCGACACCGGTAATATCGCCGGCATGGCGACTTGGCAAGTCTACTGGCGGGGAAGGACCACCGAAGAGCGTCAGAAGCCGTGGATTGGATGGTTAGAAGGTGACCAGCGAGAGCGTGCCGAAGGCTTTTTGGGACAGCTCTGGGAGAAGAGGGAGAAGTGGATTGGGCCCAAGAGGCATGTGTGTGAGTGGCGACCAATTTTGATATTGATAATAACCATATACTAACCCGGCGACAGACTGTCACACGGTTGCGGTGCATCCAGACTACCAGGGTAGAGGTATCGGAGCACAGCTTATGCAATGGGGAATAAACGTGGCAGAGCAGCTGAATTTGCCGATTTACCTTGAGTCAACAGTGGAGGGAGTCCCCTTGTATCAAAAACTTGGCTTCCAGACTCTATCGGAGGGCATCCTGTTCAAGCCCGAAATTACCAGGGTCGAAAAAGAGGTTCGAGCACCACTCATGGTGAAAATGCCCACAGCTGCGGGAAACACGAGATTTGAGGAATGGGCAGAGGACAAGAATTCCTCTGTATAAATTAGTCATTCACATACTGTTTTTTCGGCCTTCAATGCAAGACACGATTGGCCACATGCTCGTATGGCATTCCAAAGTCATATATTCCAACACCAAGAAAGCCTCCCGTGCGCGTAGAACGTTAAACTGCATTTACACGCATGTTTCTTGCCTGCGGTGTGCAAAATATGCACCAAAATATGCACCAAAATATAAGCATGTCACGCGGGCGATAACTCCGACTAATTCCAGCAAGCAGACGATGAAACCGGTCATCATTTTCCAACAGTCTTGGCAAGGACTTTGAGAGTTACCCAGAGGCCCAAGCGAACTGAGAGTTATAGCCAAGGCTTGGCGTGGCGTATTTGTGAAGGATGGAAGCTACCGGGTGAGGCGGTTCTTTTTATCAGATCCGTGAAACCTTTTTTCAATCAAATATTTCATACCGAGCCAAGAATAACAACAGGGGCTCACCAAAGAGAAGAAGAACGAGGCGGTAATCCTTAGTGTCGCCGCCACTCCTGGTAAATCCATCGGCAGATGATCAAGTTTACGGCGTTTTTGTGTGTATCAATGTGGGCTGGGGTATTACTGGGGGGATAACAACGGGTGGGCATATCTTAAAGAGAGCTCTAAGGGTAAATTACATACTCCGTATGAGGTCGTATACACTTCACGCCGAGCTGACCCATCCATGGATGTGATAGATATGAGAACCTCGGAACGAGCTCGGCAAGTGCCGATCAGTCCCTGGATGGGTAAGCTCGGGGTGAAGTGTATACATTTCCGTCTGACTTTTACAGATACCATGAAATACCGGTAATACCGCCCAGACTCGTGTACTGTATGGAAATACAATGTGGAGCCGCTAATCTAATCTGATCAAGAATTATCAGATGGTCCACGAACAGTCCACGGGTCTATATACCCATGGACCTAGATACAACTTAATTTTCAGGACGATCTTAATATCGAATTAAATTACTCATATCAGAGAGTGAATTGGCTGGCCGACATCGGCTGGACGGTGGGATTTCCAAGCCATTCTGGTCATATATTTGAGTTTGAGACATCCAGTGAAACCAAAGAATTAGTAGTCCACACTTGCAGGGAAGTGAATCCTGCTATGCGTCTTTATTCCGCCTTTGCCACCCTTTGTGGGCTCCAGGCTACCCTTGTTGTAGCTGAGAACACTACTTGGCCCTGGCAAACGTTCAAGTCCAGCCCTCACGAGCCTCCGAATCTCAAAGTCTCCAAATCCGGCCTTGTCAGCCCTGGATACCTCTTCTTCGATCAATCATGGGACGCGCATCAGTACAGCGTGTTTATCATGTCGGACAGCAACGAACTTGTCTGGCAGAGCTCGCCGGGTGACCTGAAGGGATTCCGAGCACAGAAGCTGGATGGGAAGCCTGTCCTGACGTATTTCAATGGTCTTGGGGTCCCAGAGCCCTTTGGCTGGGGATACGGTATTATCCAAGTCTTGGATAAGTCCTATCGAAGTATCTACAATGTTTCCGTGACGAACGACAACTACAAGGCCTTGGGCAGCATTGACAGCTCCTCTTTTGTATCTTGGATTGACATGCATGAGAACACGATCACGTCTGATGGGACAATGCTGGTCACTGGCTACAATGTCACTCAGACTGATCTCAGTTCAGTCGGAGGTCCCACGAATGGCTGGATCGCTGACTCACTCTTCTATGAGATTGATATCAAGACCAACGAGATACTTTTCCGCTGGAGTGCCCTAGACCATATTGATCAGATTCCCTTGGAAAATGTTCAGCCATTCTACCCTATTCAAGACTGGGGACACAACAGCAGCTTTCCCTATGGCTACTTTCACATTAACTCAGTGGACAAGTTTGAAGATGGAACGTACATCATTTCTTCTCGTTACTACTGTTCGCTGTTTAAGATCGGGAGGGATGGATCAGTTGGTTGGACGCTTCAGGTAAATTCAAGCTTCTTCAAGTGTACCACAAGTATGGCCTACATGCTAATAATATACAATAGGGCCAAACTGGCGGGGACTTTGAGCTCAATGGAATCAAATTCAGCTACCAACACGACGCCCGCATCCATGATGAGGCCGAGGATACATTCGTGCTTAGCATTTTTGACAATGCCAACTCTGATGTCCAGAATGGGACTGATCATACTGAAGGCATATTGATGAACGTCAATCTAGCTACTCGCCAGGTCTCCCTTATCCATACTCTCCACGATCAACGGGATGAGATCTTTTCGACTTCTCAAGGAAACACACAATTGCTACCTAAAAACCATGTATTGATGGGCTACGGGTCAAATCCTAAAATCAAGGAGTACAATGCTAACGGGTCTTGTGTCATGACTGCCCAGTTTGGATTCGATGATGTCGTCGCAAGCTACCGAGCGTATCGCTCCCCCTGGGTCGGCGTCCCTGAAACTCACCCCGATGTGTTTTCTTGCATTGACCAGGGCCGTAACACAACCAATGTTTATATGAGTTGGAACGGAGCCACTGAGCATAAAGAGTGGAAGGTCTTTGGGGGTGTTACTAGTTCAGACCTAAGTCCCGTTGCAGCGAGATGGAAGACAGGATTTGAGACCATGACGAGCATCAAAGGAAAACTTGGGTATGTTCGAGTAGAAGCTCACGGCCTGGGGATCCAGAAAGGTGTTTCCAAAATTGTACCCGTAAAGAGTCGGTGTTAGGTATCATATAGGGTTGCAATTTTGTAACCTTAGTCAGGATAGACATTGAGAGGACCTGAATTGATCTGATCTTGGTAGAATAGTACTTCTGGTTTTCGATATGATGACCATGTCTTGCAAATAGTAATCAGTCAAAGCTTATTTACGTTGGAATTCTTAATCAGCCATGTAGAAGCCCCCCAATCATTGGACTATTGTTTTCAGTGAGCTAAATTAAAAAGGGGTATCATATACTCTTCGATCCTATATTGTAGATACCAATCGTATGACTGACAACTAATTAGAGGAACATTATTATATGCTGACTCCTACTAGCTTCAACCTGATCCCCATAAGCTTCATCTGCCAGCTTCACACTTTTCTATCAACAGCAAATCAGCTTAAATCACGCGTCCCTTGACCTGCTTAAGATCCTTTATCTTAATGTCTCTCCACATCGCAGCACACCCCCAAGCAACTACCAGCATACAAACACTCGTAATGAGCATATATCTCTGCGCATCCCCATAGGCGTGAGCAATGGCATTCCGAGCCGGGCTTCCCCACTCATAGGACAGCTGAGCTGTGATATCCGAATAGACCGTTGCCACAGTCACCTCCGCCGGCACGTATTTGGTCAGCGCTTTCGGGAACTCACTGGTCCAGATAGCGGCAGACACAGTTGATCCAATCGCACTGCCAATACTACCGAACAGGTTCAGCATAGCAAGTATAACAGCGATGTGTTGGTGATCCGAAGGCGCCATCATAGCAAGCTCGCCGCAGATAACAGTAGTTCCACCAGCGAAGGCGACGAAAATCTGAGTCATGCAAATATACCCAATACCCGCATCGGGCTGACGGAATTTAATCATCAGTCCAACACCCAGGATCATAAGCGGGAAGGAGAAGTAAACAGCCAGCCACTTGAAGCGACCAGTCCAACGGATTAGGAAGCCGACGAGGAGACAAAAGAGGCAGGATCCGACTCTGTAAATGGCCGAGACATAGCTGGCTTCGGTGACATCCAGGCCCCAAACGACCTGGAGCATTGATCCGAAGTAACTACCCCAAACCGCTGAGTTGAAAAACTCGAAGATGAACATTAGCCCACCGAAAAAGACGGTTCGGTCCATCAATAGATCAAATGGGATGAAGGTCACTGGGGCCCAGAATCGCTCATAGAGAGCGAATGCGATGAGCAAAAGCCCTCCAAAAACGATCATGCAAATAATCATCGCTGACCGCCATTGATCCTTTTGGTATGACCAGAGACTGAACGGAAGCAGGAACAAGGCCATTCCACCAGCCAGAAGAATGATTCCAATCAAGTCGACCTCTATGCAGTATTGCTTTACTGTAGAGAAGGTGAGCGGACCACGGCTGGGTGCGAGCAGGCCCATCTTCTTGGCCTTCTGCTGATTCCAGAAGAACAGCAGACACAGAGGAGCCACCACAACCGGAATGATGATGGTGAATATTCCAAATCCCCATCGCCAGCCGGGGCCTTCGAGGACACTCTGGGAGATCGGTCCCCCGATCCAGGTGGTTATTATGTATGGTGAGGTTGCGAACGATAACATGAGGGCTCGGTTCTTCAATGCAGAGGTGTCTGAAATGAAAACTGTCAAACAATAGCTGACTCCTTGGGATCTAAAAGTTGTCGCAAATTAGCTAAGCTGTTGGAAAGACACTGGAAAAACTCAATATAGATATCATACCCTACGGATGAGAAAACCTGTGCAGCCGCGTAGGTCTGAACGTTGTCGCAGGCCGCCATCATGATAAAACCGATAACCCAAATGATCAACATCAAAGACATACCCTGAGGCCGACCCCACGAGTCCAATATCTTTGCCAAGGGAATTTTACTCAAGCCTCCAATGATATTGGCCATGATACTCGTGGCGGCAGTCAAAGAATGGAGCATGAAGGCACTGGTCACGTAAGGGTTTAGAGAACGGATGACGACCTCCTGGATGGAGGTAACAAAATAGATAAACCAAATGCTTCACATAAGAAAAGTCAATGGGTTGAATGAATATAGACGTTAAATCATGAAGAGATTCTCACATCGCATATGCCAGGATCAGATGAGACTTAGTCCAAACGACCGCCGCGGCCTGAACTCCCTTCACACCAGCCTGAGCCTCTTGATCGAGGGACTCCTTATCCGAGTTGCCATGATCATCAGCTGTGTCTTTAGTTGTGTGAGCTGTCTCTGGCTCTTTCTCAGAGGGATAGATAACGTCAGAGCTCATATCGCGAGCGATCTCCGATTCCTTCGATGCCATGGCGAGAGATTCTGTGATTCGAATGCTAGCTTGGCCAAGAAGCGCCGATCAATAGGATATATATACCTTGGTTTATTAGGTCCGCATTAGCCCGATGTCGGTAACAAGGAAAATTCTGCACCAATGAGTATGTTGACTCAAGGAAAGTGTCCGGTAAGTAATAATTTCCATTGCCGCCAGGGAGATTAGTTGGGGCTGGCCCCCTTGGCGCACCTAAGCGTCAAAAATATGGATCCATAGCCCTTTCTAGGGGCCTTCTCAGTCCAATAAATTCTGTCCTCGGGCTCCAATGTTCTGATGCCACCCCGGTAGGTTTTGATCAGCCCATTTCAGCTTTGATTTTCCTGACCTTTTCCTTTTCTAGTCGGAGACACTTCGGGGCCAAGGATTCTAGAGGGTAGTGATTCCCTTCCTTTCTTCGTTGTGTTGTCTACAACACGTATGGTCCTTGTGGTACATAATCAACTAGTTGTGTCGTACGGTGAACTTGTTTTACCGTATTTGAAAAATACCATGGTACTTCAAAGTTACATACGTGTATTTGAGCTTTACAGTATTTTCCGCAGCGTTTTCCGCAATATTTTTATTTTTATTTTTATTTTATTTTTTTGATTTCCCTCTCCATTAAATAACGTCGCGTGTTGCGCTTCATAAGTATGGAGCAACCTTTTTTTCCCTGTCGGATGATAGTTTCCTATCTGAGCTGGCATCACATTTACGCCCCCGAAGCTGCTAAGAGCAATGTACTTAGGCTGGATTGCTTTGTTTGGAGACTTATTGCTTCACAGCCCACAGGTGTCTCACTAAAGTGTGTCATGATGACTTTATGTTCTCTTTCCACATTTCCACAGTAAAAGCGGAGTTCACGTCCTATAATGAACTCTACATCAACCACTATATTCCTCCAGGCCTCCAGCGCATTCTGTTCTTACGAAACGAATTCAGGTGCAAGGTTCTAACATGTTCTTTATCTGCTACCTATACGAATGAAGTTAGACTCGAATTCATTTGCTTAGTGATGTCTTGAATTCCCAATACTACACTTCGAGGTCTTTCCCAAGAGCTACTCACCCATGCAGCGTTATTCTCCGCTCGCAGTCGAAACTTTGAGCCGTTCTCTGGCATCAGAAACGAATGTCAGATCTAAATCCTCCATTCTATACCGCGTCTGCGTCAGATGATACCCAAAATAGCCAAAAACAAAAGCCTCAAGAACCTTCGATAGCACGGGGTGGGCCTTCCCAAACGTATGCAAAGTCCGAATCACGTCGCTTGTATCATCACAGAGCTTCCTCAGAAACTCAATCTCAGTCAGCCCTGTACATCCGGCCGAGTTCGTGACGAAATTACAGTTGCCCATCTCAGCCATTTCTTTGTAAAATGACATGATGTCATTTATCCAGCTGAAACCCGATGTCAAACATAGTATCCGCAGTAGGCAGTATCGGAGGCATTCGGCTTCGGAGAATTGTGCGGTTGGGAATAACATAAAGGAGTAGGCTTCGGCCACGCCAACTTTCAGACGAAAGTAGCTGGGGAACAGATGCGCTTCTGCAGGGAATTTAATATTCTTGCTCTCCATTTCGGTGTAGCATGCACTATATTGCAGTGAGTCCTTGATAATCATGTCACCAGCAAATTGACCGAAGATAGAATGAAAGGAGCTCAGGAACTCTCCCATGCTCTCAAGGACCGGGCTTCCTTGAGGTTTCCGAGTCAAGAGGCAGATATTGAATCGCTTTGATGCTTGAATTCAAGGTCATGGAAAAAATCATCAATGATCAGACAATAAGTAGTGAATATTACCACTGTGCATTATATGTTGTAGGGGGTTGTTTGGAAAGTCGTGGTTGCAATTCCGACACCAGTCTTGATCTATGGCTTGATCTTTGAAACAAATTCATCTGAAAATCCATTATTCTTGAAGTACAGCTTCACTTCGCCTTCGACTGCCGGATATAGTTTCAGAGAAAACTCGTAACCAATGTCCAAAAGCTATGTCTGTATGATTTCAGAAAGCTCTGCCTTAATCTCAGGGCAAGCAGCAATAGCCATTTTGGGAAGATGGAAGGAGTAGGGGAAAGAAAAGTGTAGGAATTAAAAAAAGACACCATGGATACCTATAAAAGGTTATGAACTTGTGTAACGTATAGCGAGATCCTAGGCATGTTAGAAAGTGTATTTGATGTTGACTAGGTCTGCATATTCGACATTCTTAGGTACACTCCAGGGCGAAATCACTGGCATCATGTCAGATCAACACTACCAACATTACAGGTGACCAAGTGTGTCATCAGATACTTTAGTCCTATTGGCTATTATTACGGGCAAACTATTACCTATGTAGGTATGTACTATTCACCCCATTTCATAGTGAAGCACTCATATGCCGGGATGCGGGTGAACTTTATGTTGTACCAAGGTGATATTAGTTATTATATTATAACTGTACAGCTATGTACATTAGGAATTGATCCCTTATCGACCATACAGTATCATACAGTATAAAATTTTTTTTTTTTTTTTTACCTAAATTATGGGAAAGAAATATATATTGAGTGATTGTCGGGCTATGTAAACTAACCAACGAGACTTTGAAATTAGTTACATAACACCATTTAAAAGAAAAAAAAGTATGATAGGTTGTACATCTAAGCTTTATGTCTCCATATGCGTAATATCGATCAATACGACCAAAGCCCCGCGTGGCACACTTCGTCACCTATACAGTCTGAGTGAAAAGAACGTTGTGAAAGAATGAACATACCAGGAAGTGATCGGAATGAATCCCGCCAAATCCAGAGTCTCACAAATATTGAAAGACGACAAGACATCATAGAGGAGGATGTCTGCCTTCCCTTCTAGGAAGATACAACGGTGCATAAGCATCTCTTCCATATCCATCAGATGTCAAATGGTTGTCCTAAGGCACCAAGGCAACAAAGTAAAGTCACGTGCCTAGTACCATGTTCGATTTTTCAGCCAATCAGAGGCCAGGAAAATCAAATTTGAGATTTCCCAAAGGGGCTCTGCCACTTTTTATTTGCTTCTAACAAACTCAAAGTTTCGATATTTCGATCAAATACTCAATGGCCGACGACATTGAAGGGAATCAAGAGAAACACAGCAATGGCGAGTCACCCCAACTGCCGGAATTGCAGCGAAGGCTCAAAAGCCGACATCTACAGATGATCGCAATGGGTAAGAACTCCGAGCTATACACATTTTTGTTCTTATTCTTATTCTTATTGTTATCTTTTTGAAGGAGGTGCCATAGGCACGGGACTTTTTATTGGTAGTGGGAGTGCAATTGCTACTGCAGGCCCCGTTGGCGCCCTGATTGCATTCACCTTCATTGGATCAATCGTATATTCAGTCATGATAGCCTTGGGTGAGGTGGCCACTTACCTACCGATCCCAGGAGCCTTTGCTACATATGCGACACGCCTGGTCGATCCTAGCTTAGGCTTTGCAATGGGCTGGATCTACTGGTTTTCATGGGCTTCGACATTTGCCCTGGAGTTGACTGCCACTGGCCTAATCATTCAATATTGGGATGACACGATCCCAATGGCAATATTCATTGCTGTGTTCTGGGTTGTTATCATAATTTTGAACATGTTTCCTGTGAGCTGCTACGGTGAAGTCGAGTTTTGGCTTTCAAGCATCAAGATCATCACCGTCGTCGGGTTTATGATATTCGCCATTTGTATCAATGCTGGCGTTGGCAGGGAGGGCTATCTGGGATTTAGATACTGGGTACACCCAGGCCCGTTCCGTCCTTATTTGATCGAGGATTCTGGACAAGATGCTCTGGCTAAATTCGTCGGTTTTTGGGCCATTTTGATCAAAGCCGGGTTTTCATACCAAGGTACCGAGCTTGTCGGTATTGCTGCGGGTGAAACGGAAGACCCTCGCAAGAACATTCCCTCGGCCATTCGAAAGACCTTTTTCCGAATTGTGTTTTTCTTTGTTTTTACAATTTTCTTCGTCGGTATCGTCGTGCCATCCAACGACCAACGCCTTACCGACAATGATAGCGGTGCAAACGCGGATGCATCCCCCTTTGTCATCGCTGCGAAACGTGCCGGTGTCAATGTCCTACCTAGTATCATCAACGCGGTCCTGCTTACTGTGGTACTTTCCGCTGCCAATTCAAACGTCTACAGCGGGAGTCGGATTCTAGTCGGTTTGGCCCATGAAGGTTTCGCTCCTCGATTTTTCCTGAAAACGACCAAACACGGCGTGCCCTATGGAAGTGTTGGGTTCACAGCTCTTTTTGGCCTGTTGGGCTTCCTCAATGTGTCAAATACCGGAGCCACTGTTTTCAACTGGTTGATGCAGATTGCTGGCTTGGCCGGTTTCATTACTTGGGCATCTCTTAATATTTGCCATCTGGCATTCATGAGAGCTTTGGCTGCGCAGGGAATTTCACGCGACACGCTTCCTTATAAGGCTACCTGGCAACCCTTTTTCTCGTGGTACGGCTTGTTCTTCAACGTGCTTATCATCATTACTCAAGGCTTCACTGCTTTCATTCCGAAGTTCAGTGTTACCGACTTCTTCATCAACTACCTCAGTCTGATCTTGTTTGCGGTACTATATATTGGTCATAAGGTTGCTTTCCGACCGAAGATTGTGAAGCCTATCGAGGCCGATATTGACACTGGGCGATGTGAGGAATGAGGGTTGAAAATGTATTTTAGTATGTATAGTATATTGATTTAGAAAGAGGAAAGAGTGTAAAATGGAAACACCGAAATAACTTATAACTATTACCTTATTAGTTGGATATAATATATAATAATTATATATTAAGTCAATATACTACTTATATCAAATGAGGTAAATAAATTCTAATCTGTCATGGATAACCCGGTGGAAGGCTCACCGCCATGCTAATTACCCTGCTTCGGTCGCCAAGACCAGCAGGAAAGGTGCCTGGTACGAATCCTGGGGTTGGCATTTTCACTCGTGCGAGTAATCCACGATGCTGGAAGCCACTAAGCAATGGAAATGACCCTTGAGGGAAGCAATTCTGCAGAGACATTTCCACCCTGGGATGGCGTCGCCAGATTACACCGTCCTGTTACAGGGAACTTGGCAATTTGGTGAGACAACTACTATTTTTCTTTCTTCTTTTTTTTTTCATCCTTTGTTTTATTGAAGCTACTCAACCAACACACACCCCCTTTAAGATTCCGTTTCTTATCTGACCTACTCTATCCTGTCAATACCTCTTGATCAATCATACACTTTGACCTAGGGAATATATTGAGATACCACAAGTTAAACCCGCTAACGATAGCATGATTAAAAAAAAATGTACAAAGAAAATCATGAAAAATCAACCCTCGACCAGTATCCCACATAAGACAAGAGAAAAATAAAACACACAATCCAGTCCACAGGTCAAGATCAAGGTGTCCCCATATGAGTCTCATGCGATGCATGCACCGCATTCTGCGTCTGCTCCAAAACCACAGCATAAAATTTCCCTTCTTCCGAAATATCACGGTAAGGACCTGCAGAGACGACGGCCCTGCAACAATGCAAATTAGCATATGATTTTACATTCAAGTACATAATATCAAACAACATCAAACACAAAAAGAAAAAAAAAGAAAGAAAGAAAGAAAGAAAGAAATCAAAACATACCACCCCTTATACTTCGGCTGATTAAAGATATCCGTAAACACCCTCAGCACCCGCAACGGTAACTCCAGAATAGAAGGCATCTCAGGTCCATCGCCACATATGGGGAGTCCCAGCTTGTTGACGGGGAGGTAAACGGTCTCCGCGACATTCTGTGGATTGCGCGTCTCCTGGAAGATGAGAAGACGGCGCGAGGTGTGTGAGTGCGGTCCACCTGCTGACGATGGCCTGGCGTTTGCGCTCGCGCTCATGCTCATCGTGAAGGCTTTTTGGGTGTGCAGAGTGCGCAATAGGTTTTTGCGGAGATCCGTGTTGGATTTTCTTTTTCTTGGACTTGGAGATTGGGAGGATGAGTTGTTCAGTTTGGCTGTTCTTTTTTGCCTGGTGTTGTTTTTTGTTTTTTTGTTTTTTTCTCTCTCCTTAGACTTTTGTGCTGTGTCTCTGGATATGGTGCTTAGAGATGGCGCGTTTTCTTTTGCGGTTTATTAGTATGGTCTTCCATATAGTTCACCACGGGTTTCTTACTATTTGTTGACTGTGGCGTGTATGGAGGGCGCGACAGGCTCTGCTTATCGTTGGGCGATCAGTGTCCCGATTAGGAGATCGCGGGGCAAAAAGGGGGGGACTTTGAAGAAAGGTATATTGTGAAGATGAAGAGAGATGGGAAGTTCGATGTTGTCTGTTTTAAGGAAAATAAGCCAATAGAAGAGGGGACCTCGGGACTTAATGGGAAATATTATAATTGTAGCCTACATGTACTAAAACGAACTCTTAGATATTTAGATCGTATACACAATATGTCTTATACACAATATGCATTGATCATATTAATTAGATTATTCCTATACTCTAAGTTTCTAAATGACCTAGGTATAATAAAATCATAGTCAATAGATAAAGAAAAAAATAACAATGGGTATCATGATAATGTGGTCAAAGAGAAACCAAAAAAAAAAAGGACAAAAGAACGTCAAGCCCGCTCAAATCAGGGATTCAGGGATAAATCATGGTATATGGCATCATTCA